ATTCTGCCAGGAAAGACAAGAACATTACTCTCAATAAAAAAAAAAACAAAACAAAACAACCTGTTTTAAGAAAAAAATTAATAATCTTTCCAACTCAGACTGTACACAGACTAACCAGGTTAAAGCTAAGTTGGCAAACCACTTTCTTTGTTAAAATAAACATAACCTTTGTGGATTGCACTCTGGAACTTCTTACATAAAAATTTTGTTCCCAATATTCCCATGTTAAATAAAAGCATTTTCTTTGTGATGGGAAACCAGCATTTTCAGTGCAACCTTGTCCATCTAAAAGCTCCTTAAAGTCTGCCTTAAAGACTGATTATGTACAGAAAAAAAAGAGTCATGCATGCTGGTCTTATAACTTCAGGGACCTCTGAGCTATGGTTCAACAGTAAACTTTGTGACATTCTCCCTCCCAAACTGGTAGCAAAGAGCATAAATCAAGTGCTGGTTGAGACTCCAAAGAAACATTCATGTAGATCACACTACAAAAACTAAACCGCGTGCTAACCCACAAACCATGTTTATGTTATCGTTTAATAGTTTTATCCACAAATCGTTTCCTCAAAATGAATTTATCCAGCATCCATTGAAGTCCTGTTCTGCATACAGGAAAAGAAGAGAATGTGGCTTCCTGTCACACTCCACCTGCGTATTCAGGACATAGTTGCTTCCCACAACAAATATCTAGAATTATGTGTCCACTGGAAAAGCAGAGTCAGCATGTGAGAGAGCATTTCTCACCCTTATGCATGATACCGGCTGTAATAGCGACATGAAACGGGAAGGTGTAATACGTCATGTAGCCTTCCACACTCTCCTGTAGCTCAGAGAGCTTCAACAAGACAACTAGTATTTCATTAAAGAAGAGTAGATATATAAATATCATCTATTCACCATGTGACCTCTCCCCATTAACACAATAGGCAAGAGGGTCCTTGACAGTTCTCCATTTCCACGCAAAAAATAAACAAGGGCTCTGTTACAGGCTTGCCATGCATTATTAGCACTTGGCCTCTGCAAATCCTTGCGTACTTGAACACGGGCAGATCTCATATGGGAGTGAATATAAAAATGTGCAACTGTTTTAAAGTTACTCTTCTGTAAAAATAGAAGTGTTTTAATATTTAAATAAACCTGATCATTTGTGCCATTACAGTGAACAGATACTGTCCCAGTCACAGGTCCCGGCTAAGTAAGGATTAAATTTTATTAATTAAACTTTGATATCACAATGACAACTGTTACTTTTTTATCCTCCTATTCTAAAAGGTTTGTCCTTATGTTAGAGACAATGGGAGCCCAAAGGACATCAAAACTTTATTGATAGCATACATCAAGTCTCGATGCTCTCTCAAGGGTGCAGTAGCTCATCGAGAGATGTGGAAATTCATTAATTTGTCTTCCCATTAAAAAAAGAAACCACACAACCACCCAGAGAGCGCCCTGACATTTATAATAAAAAATGGAGAAAAGATTATTTTCCTGAAGATACTTCTTGAAATAACAGCTTATAAATATTCCTAATAAAGCACAAGATGTCTGGAGGGCAGAGGAAATAATGAAAACTGGATTCCTATTGATTAGGGGACAATTGGGCAATGCAACTGTTCTCCTCCCCCCTGCCCAGACACACACAATAAATTTGCTTTCACCCCCTCCTGTCCATGTCCCCTGGGATATGTACGTCCTATTTTGCCTCTCCTAGCTCCCAGCAAAGCAGAGCAGAGCTGCAGCTGCTCTGGAGCTGTGCCTACATTGATCACCAGGTCCTTCCCACCACCCCTCAGAATGGGGCACTCTTTTGGGGTCTCTCCTCTGCCCAGCCATTGCTTTTTATGAAACTCATAGAAACTAACTTATCTTTATACTTACACTCCCTTTCAAATTTGGCTAAAATTGGCCATCAGGTTTAAAAACCTTTTTACATGTAGACAGACAGCATGATCATACAAACTTCTTTTCCTTAGGAAACCAGGCTAACAGAAATAATAATGAAAAATACAGCAGGTAGATCGATAACAGGGCACAGTGTTCAGTTTCTGTAAGCGTGAAACCATTGTGACTAGAAGGAGTTCAATCAGGACAAAAAGAAGCGGCAAAGAGAACAAATATTTCCTCTTCAGTGACACTGCACAGAGCAGGCTCAAAAATTACCTGCAGGTCTCAACTTTGGGAACCTTTTTAATATCTTTTCATCTTAGTATATAGTCTGACGTGCTTTGGTTAGCTCCCTGGTAACGCAAAACACCATGCTGCAGACTACTTGTTAGCCCCACATGGAGTTTAGTGTTTTTTTTCCGAAAATCCCAAGGGAAGGGAGAAGAATCTCAGTATAATCAAAGACACTGAGGTTGCAGCCTCCAGCCTATCTTTTGAGAGATATTTTTCTTTCTTGCTCTTGTTACCAATACTCACTTTAAATTCTTTTCCATGATGACATGTTCTTTCATAGTTTATTTTTTCCTTGCTTTGTTTAGTCTTCTAATCTCACATCACAGGATAAAACAAAAATGCATAATCTAGCATTACCCAGCAGAAGGCAGGCTCTTTGGGAGCCATTAAGTAAACATCAGAGCAGGAAATTTATCACTTCTACACACAGGGTGTTATTGCATTTGTACTGATGCATTCTTTGAATATATATATTTAAAAAAAAGCATAGATTGGCTGCGTACATCACAGAGCTGTCTGTTGTTAGAACCATGCCTGGGCTGAGTGCACTTGTTCGGTGGTACAAACACGAGCCCCATGAAAGAGGACATATGGCATCTGGCTAAAGGCAAAATCCCGCTCCCTCTGCAGACAACAGCAAGGTTTTCAGCAGTGATGCAAGCGCCCTGATGGAGATGCTCGAGTTTAAATATTGGGGATCTCGGCTGTGTCACACATTCTCCTTTGAGTTTATCAGGAAACAGGATACAAACTGGGATAAAGCACACAAAGTGAAATCAAAATAGTAATTTCTGCCCTTGCTGCCTTTGTTAACCAGGCCCCATCCAAAAGACATTACCTTTTGCCCTTTGATAGGTATCAGTTGGCTCTGTCTTACCTGAAGTCTCTAATTCTGCTATCTGCAGACATGCCATCCTTCAGGAGATAGTTCAGGCCTGCCATGCAGAGTGCTCTCTTATGCTGATTTTCTAACCTGGACATCTGCAGTTTGGCTTCCAACAGCTCCTGGATTTCCTGGCACATGATACAGGCCCTACAAGGAAGGCTAGGGACAACGTGGGGCTGCTGCTGAATGAGGCGGGTGTCCTGGTGACGGAGGATGCGGAGAAGGCAGAGCTACTGAATGCCTTCTTTGCTTCAGTCTTCAGTGCTAAGACTGGCCCTCAGGAATCCCAGGCCCCGGAGGTAAGAGAAGAAGCCTACAAAGAGGACGACTTTCCCTTGGTCGAGGAGGACTGTG